TAAACAGCACATTAGCCTCTCCATACAGCAGTCTAGCAGCTCTGGTTACCTATGAACACGCTTAAGGCTGACAAATTTAGTTCTTCATTGTACATACATTAGATTTCACTGGTGTTCCTCCATCTTATCAGAACAAACCTCCAAACCAACACTTCAAATGTTCAAGTATGCGATGGGCCCTTGGGCGGGGACGTCCCTGAATGGATGGTGGTGGTAGGCTGTACATGCCTCCCTGAAGGCTCAGGCGTTTGCCACTGGGCATCACACCTGCGTCTTTCTCCAAGTTATCACCCATACGGACACTGAAAGGTGGAGACCACCTCTACAAAGATGGGACCCCCTCACATTCATTTCCAAACGATTCGCAATTTCATTTCACTGATGAAACCACCCCACAAGACAGAAACCAAAGAACTGTTCCTTTGCTCCACCTTTCCACTTCCCAAACCTTCATTCGCCATCAGAAATGGGAGAGCTGAGCGAGGATTGCACCCTTGTAATCCCAGTGCTTGGAAGGCAGGCAGGAGGAGATGGCGAGTGGAGAGCAGCCTGGGCTATGCAGAGATCATGTCTCAAACGAAGGATGAAGAATCCCCACCCCCCCCACACACACCTCCCGCAGATGCAGACCCCCTTAGAGTGATACAGGAGGGGAAGAGGGAGGGGAGCAGGAAGTGATTTGAAACAGCAGCTTGGTAACTCTTAGCCGGCCCTGGTATGCATTCAGATGCCGACGTGACACCCGCGTCACTGGGCAGAGCTCTTGCTTAGAATCGTGTTGTCAGAGCATGGCAGGTGAGCTTTAACGGGCTTCAAAAGACATGTCCAGGAGGGAAAACCCGGGAGAGAGCAAGGGAAGGCCTGACACCGACCTGACTTAGGTAACTATGACCACCTAGGCACGTCACCTTATAGCAATAAAAACACTTGAAATAAAACCAAAAAAAGTAAAGACATGCGAACATACAGAACCACGCAGGCGCGAACACTTGATGCACCGTGTGTTGAAAAAGTAAAACTGCTTCATCAACTGGGTTTGCCTCGGTTCTGAGTCCGGAATCTCAAGATGTCAGGGCTGGGATGGAGCTCATTGCTGGCCACCGAGATGCGGCCCTTGCTTTGCCACTTCTGAGAGGTGACCATGCCGCTTCACTACCCCGACACCAGCCATGGCTTCGAGACTGGAAATCTGTCCCAGTGTGCAAGAGCACCGCGGTGCAGCCTCGGGACAGGCGCGATCTCTAGAAACTTGCCGAGGGCCTCTGGCAGCTCCCCCCTACCCCTAACCCCCCCCCCCCCCCCCCGCCTGCAGAGCAGTTTCAATGGTTGACATCCTTGGCTGGCGCTCCAGGACACATCCCACTGTGGTCACCGGCACTGCTCCTGCGCGAGGTCCATGCTCCATCCACGGGCAGCCACATCCTCTCCTGAGCTCACTCCTCTGCGATTCTCTCCTAGGCCATGAAACACTCCCGCCATCTCCGTGTGGTGGAACGAGGCTGAAGTCTTCACCGGGCGACCCTGAAATAGGACAGGTGAGTGTGTATTGAGCACATACTACCTGCTGAGTGTAAGAATCCTATTTGTAGCACTTACATGCCCACCGCAGTTCTGCAGAGAGTGCCTTCCACAGGTCGGGAGCTTGAGATTTGGGGGGATTCCCTAGCTCCTGAGACAGCAGGGTGCGCTCAGCCCCGGCAGGGCAGGGCAGGGCAGGGCGGAGAGGCTGGTGTGGGGGCCATGTGCTCTCAGTCCCTGTCGGCAGAGTCGCACCTTGAGGAACAGACACTGCACCAGGTGGGCGTCTTCCTGTGCCCATGCCCCGGGCGAGGGAAGTGCTGCCGGCTCCTTCCCACCAGAGGCATCAGCTCCCCTCACTGCTGTCACCTGAGCTGCGAGGCTCACTGCAGTGTCACGGCTTCCAGAACATTCCCATCTGATGGTACCTAAGGGCACCAATATGTGGAACTGCTCCAGGCCCAGCCTTCCCAGCCCCATCCGACCTCACTGCCTCAGCTCAGACAGCTCAGTGAGGCCAGGCCCCGCTTTTCAGGGCCAAGAAAGGCAAGAGTTCCCAAGTTCCTTCAGTTACTTGGGAAGCAAAGCCACGCCTGCCCTGTGGTCTCTGTATGGAAGGACAGGTCTGCAGGGGGGGTTGGGGGGGCAGTGGCTGGCGGGGGGGGGGGGGGGGGGGGGAGGAGTTCTTCTGTTTTTCTTCCTGGCCACCCGAGGGGACAAGCATCCTCTGCAGAGGGGAACAGCACCTCCACTGCCGCCCTCTGCTGGCTGGCTTTGGAAAGGGACTCCACCTCCCAGGATCCTCTGGCGGTCCTGAGCTTGGGGACGGGCTGTAGACACTATGATCCGCGTGTCTCTGAAGAGCAGCCCACATAAGCAAGGCTCACACTCCCAATCCTGCCTCCCAGGAATGCCGCAGCCGGAGGGTTGCAGGTCGCAGTCCTGCGCCAGCCCAGGCAGAGTAACTCGAGAGACCCCAAGTTGACCCCTGCCTGGGCCCACTGGCTTGTCACCACAAGCTATGGGGGTGGAACGTGAGACATGCCCCCCTAAATGTGACTCCGCGGGCAGAGCGCCCGCCTGGCCAATGGGAGGGCCTGACCTGAAGTCAAACCTCAGAACCATCTAAACAAAAGGAGACAAAACGAAACAGAGAGAGAGAAAGAAGGGGGGGATAGAGGGGGGAGGAGGTTGACCACAGCAGTTACCTCATGGTTTGCAAGCTTTGGACAGGAAGTAGAGTGACATTTCCGGTGGTCTTCAGATCACAGAAGCGGTTCGTTTTGTGTAGCTAACAGCCGCCCTCTGCTGAAGTCAGAGGCAGAGCGGAGCTGGGGGCAGGGATCCCGGGATTCCGGCCGGGCCCAGGCCCAGCCTGCTCTGCCCAGGCACCCGGGGAAGCTGGGAAGTTTACGGTTGCCAGGGCAACTCCGCAGGAGGCCGGGAGGCCATGGCTAAGGACCTGGAGCCTGGATGTAAGTGTTTGGGTTTCGATGTCTAGGTGAAGTTTTGTGCCTTGGGACTCAGATTCTCTGGGCCAGTTTCGACTGGAGGTGGTGCTCCTTGCTGGGAGCTGTTAGGGTATTCTTGAATTCACATGGGATGGGGTTGGGAGACAGGAAAAGGTGAACAAGGACTAATTAGCCTAAAGCATTTTAAAACCCCCTGTAACTGATAGGTTAGTTAATTAAGTGAGTTAGTGATTGGGCTAAATGTACAGCGTGAACGTGTTTAGATGTCTGTTCCCATTATACGAGTGTGGTTTCTATGGTGGTACAGTGCGTGTGCAGTGTGTAATCTGCCACCGTGCTCTGTGCATGGTGCACAACACTATACAGTGTGATCTGTGCTGTACATCCACCTGCACCATGTGGTTCATAACTCCACGTGGTGTGTTATGTGTGCATTGTGTGGTATGTGTGTGCTGTGGCCTTGTGTGAACAGTGTGATGCTTACATGCATGTGTATGGTATACGCATATGGTGTGTGATATGTGCACAGTGTATGTGCTGTGTGCATGTGTGTAAATGCATGTGCTGCCTGCACATGTGTATTGTATTGTGTAACTGCATGTGCTTCATGCATATGTATATTGCTGTGTGTATGTGTGTACATGTGGTATATGCAATGTAGTGGTATGTGTGCACATTGTATTACTGTGTGCATGTGTATACACTATGTGGTTGTGTGTGTGGTGTATGTGGTATGTGCATGCTTGTGTGGTATATATGGTGTTCATGTATGCACTGCATGTGGTGTGTGCATGTATGTGCACTGTGTCGTTTGTGCAGTGTGTGGTCTATGCATGTGTGTGCAGTGTGTATGTGTGCAGTGTGTGGTGTGTCCAGTGTGGTATGTGCACGTGTGTACAGTGTGTGGTGTGTGTGCACTGTGTGGTATATGCAGTATGGTGTGTATGTGTGTGCACTGTGTTGTTGCAGTGTGTGTGTGTGCACTGTGTGGTATATGCAGTATGGGGTGTGTGTGTGTGTGTGTGTGTGCGTACACTGTGGTGTTTCTTTACTCCCCCCGGCCCTGGCCTCTCCCATCCTCGAGTCACTGACATGAGACTCCATCTGCACACTGCCCCTTGCTCCTTACGAACTTCCCAAGCACCCTGCACCCTGCATGAGTGTGGACCCTGCAGCCCTGAGGCTGGGCTGGAGGGCTGGCAGTGCAGCTCCTGTCTGCAGCTCCAGGGCTGGACTTTCTTCCCAGCCGGTGGCTCGTGGCCTCCTACGCCCTCCGATGGCTGGACCGTGCCACCAGCCAGGCTCTTCATCATGGCCACGGCTTCTCTCCAGCCCTGGCGCCTTGTCTCTGTCTCACAGCGAAAAGGGCCTCAGGTCCTCTGCTCTGGTTAGAATTCTGGTGTCCCCTTCAGGCCAGAGTTTTTCTATGGGTGTAACCAAGCACTGCCCCCCCCCCCCCAGGTCTGCGGGGACAAGGAACTAGAGCTGTGAGCTCCTAGTGTCTGGCTGCACAGCCGCCTCTGCGCTGCCGGAGCCGAGGCTGGCCGGGTGGCCTGGCACGGAGTGGTGCCCGCCAGGCGCTGGCGGCTGAGGGCTGAAGGTCCACACCTGTGGGGGCAGGGCTGTGAGTGCAGCCTCACCGGGACAGGCTCTGCCGAGCCTCGCTGGCCATCCTGCAGCCCATGTGTGGTGTGGCGACCCACGGGGGCCTCGGCCCTGCTGGACAGGCCAGTCGCTCCTCCAGCATCCTCGAGAAGCCCATGTCCCCGGTTTGGTGGAGGCTGCGCGACACGACACGGTGCCTGGAGGCTTCGATTCTCCTTCCTTCCTTCCTTCCTTCCTTCCTTCCTTCCTTCCTTCCTTCCTTCCTTCCTTCCTTCCTTCCTTCCTCCTTTCTGCCAACTAGGCCTTAGGCCTAACTTAGGGCCACTTCCTGCTTTGGGGGACAGGGATGCCCAGCCCAGTAGACCTCTGCAGGCGTCAGCCGTGGTTCTGTTCCTTCCCGAGCAGGTCACCCGAAGTGGCAGCAGAATGGCGCGCGCAGGGTGGAGACTCTGGGCAACATGACGGAGCTGCTGGACATACTCCAGAGAGGTTTCCAGGAGGAGGTCTACCAGTACACGTGTGGCCACCTGAACCCTAACAGGCTCTACAGGCCACCCGAGATCATCCTCCAGCACTGGCGCAATTCCAGCAGACCCAGGAGCACCCCGGCGCCCCGGGACGCCACCTCGGGAGCGCGGAGGCCGCTCTGCCAGGCGTCGGAGAAGATGAGAGACGCCTTGGCCTATTTCACCATCAACACAGCCTTGCATCCGGACGGCGCGCAGAACACACGGCTGCTCAGGTATCTGCCCCTAAAAGGAAGTACTTCCTTCACCGCCCGAAAGGATTTCCTCACGCAGAAGATTCTGGAAGAGGTAAAGGAGCGGAGGGTGGACTTCCCAAGCACCCGCAGGAGAGAGGAGCTCCGGCTGCCCGATATGAGGGTACTAAAGCGACGGCCGGTGACGTCCAGCCGCCAGTGCGCCACGGAGCCCCCGGACAAGGACTCCTACCATTACATCTCCACCTACTTAGCCGGGATCACCAAGGCTGACAGGTACCGAATGCTCTGGACTTTCCAAAGAGAAGTCCTGGCAAAGCAGGATCTCTACAAGAGTGATCTCAGAGGGAGCAAAGTGGCACAGGAGCACGAGAAGAAGCTGAAGAAGGCAAGGAGGCCGCTGCTGCCCGCGTCCAGCCACCGGGCGGGGAGTGGGAGGGGCGGGGGGGGGCCGGGCGGGCTGGGAGCAGGCAGGGGTGCTACGGGCCGGCTGGGAGCAGGCAGGGGTGCTGGGTGAGTAGCTGCTGTGAGTGGAACTCACTGACCGGGGGCAGTGCATTATGGGAGGCAGAAGCAAAGAGCGTGCTACCTGTGGCGGAGCCACGGCTCAGGGTTTGGCCAAGGAGGCTGACGGAAAAGAACGGGCCTTGAGAGCACGTGGAGGTATGTGGAGCGAGGGAAAAGGACAAAAACAGCACATGGGTAGGAATAGAGGTCGTCTTGGTTTGCCGACCAGTCTGTGCACGGCCGATGCCTGGGGCCAGTTCCGCAGCCTGGAAGCTGACCCGAGGGGCCACCGAGGCGGCCAGGCGGGCTGACTCCGCTTCTCCTCCAGGAGCTCCAGGATGTATGCCAGTGCGACCCTCTGCAGCTCAGCAGGCTGTATGTCTTTGGGGAAGTCTTCAAGGACATCTGCAACAGCTCTCTGATATTTGGGGACCTCTTGAAAGAAGTGAAGGTAACGGGGCAGTGGAGCTTTTGGCTTTTGAGGTGACATGGAGGACTCCGCACTTAGTTCTGCGTGCATGAGAGCCTCTCACCACACGAAAGCCATCTGCCACGTGCCACGGCCCCTCTTCCCCCAGGAAATGCCCGTCACAGACATAGGTTATAAGGCCCGTGAGGTGTAGGTGCCCAGGGACCTGGCTGCTTTATCCCCGACCTTTCACTAAGCTTCTTAACACACGCAGCACACCTGTGTGCCGTAGAAGCCCTTGTAACCTAGCATGCGTGATTTCATAGAAATCCTTGTAGAACCACAGGTTTTCACTGCATGGTGCAAGTCTCTGTCATGTGGAGACAGGTGAAGTTAGACTGCTTACAGCACAGGCCATTCCACAATGACAAGCAATGCTTCACCGTGGCACCATGCTTAGCTTGCTCTTCGGAGACGCCCGTTTCCCTGGAAGTCTGTCCTTGCTTGTGTGTGGCAGGTCTGTGGCCTCACTCTCAGAGAACATGTATGTGTGCCAGAGTACATTCATGCCTCAGCAACTATTTGATTTTGTGAGTGTTGGCAAGTATGGTCTAATCCACAATGGGAACATTTTATGTATCTATCTACACGCATATATGTATATATGTACATGTACATGCTCTAATCTGACATCTCTAACCCCCCATGTTATGTCTGTATGAAGAAGGCCCTGGCATCCTGGTGAAATCAGACGCGTTTCCAATGGGCTGTTTTGTGTCTACAGGATGAATATGAGCTGTACATGGCAATCCTCCTGATGACCCAGCCCACGGAAGAATGTAAGGTAACGAGCCATCTTGGAGGGGGCGCTGAGCCTGTTCATGATTGCTTTGTAGTTCACGGGTAGCTGGACACATCATGAGCCCAAGGCTCTGCTTGCTCCATCGTAGTTTAGGAAGGAGGTGAGCTCTGTACCAGCTTATGGGTTTAATTCCTACACAGGACACTGCACGGGTATTTCAGAAGCACTGGCAAGTAGATGGAATGCCGAGGGCAAGGCCGGTGACCCTCGGGCAGCTCTGTCCCCTCACCACCCCTAGGGATGAGAAAGGGATTGTGCAGACATCATAACCCAGCATGCCTTCAGCTGCACCACAAAGCCACGGTCTCCTCACCTAACTGGTTCACCTGGTCCCTCGGGGCGCAGGTCAGGCTTGTGTAGTTCAAGTGAGAAAATGTGCCACCGCGCTGACTGTGTCATACAAACTCAGGAGCGAATGCAGAGCTCAGGTGGCCTGTGGGTTTAGCAAAGTGGCAACTCCTGAGTTGTGAATGAGGAAACACGGGTTCTTCCTTTGCACATGAATAAAATCATAGTGTTGAGTCTTAATCCAAAGTTGAGTGGGGCTTTATTATCTTTGTTTTGGACCTTTTCAGGCTACCTGCAAATGACCATTTGTCTTTACAGGAGCAAAATTCCCAGTTGGTGACTTAGGCTGGCTTTTGCTTTCTCAGGTTGAGTGGAAAGGGACTCTTAATGCCTGCATTTCCAGCAAAGGTCAGATCAAAAGAATTCAGCCGTGGAGGCTCTCAATAGTTTTCTTTCCTGAGAAGTCCACCGCCCATCACCTGAGGAGGCAGAAATCTTTATTACCCTGCTTGAGTTGCTTTAGATCCTGGCTGGGGAAGTTAAGACTGTTGGAAACTTGGAAGGAATAATGAAAGAATGGATTGTAAGAGCCTGACACACTTTATTCAACATCACCTTTCCGCACTCAGAGCCATGGCAGATTTTTAAGATTTCTTAGAAACTTAAAATCTGAACACACTGGTATTTAGCCCAGAGTTTTACTGGGATGATTGCCTCCAATGCCCGCTCTTCGCTTCCTCTGCCCTCTCTCCCCTCGCGTTCTCTCTCCTTCCCTCCTCCTCTCTCCCTTCAGCTTATCCATCCTCCTTCCATCCCATCCACCTTTCCTTCTGCCCTCTCTCCCTTCCCTTCCCTCCCTCCTTTCCTTCTCCTGTCTTTCCTCCTTTTCTCCCTCCCTCCATCCCCCACTCCAGTAGCACCATTTCACCTGGAATTCACAGTTCGCCCAGCCTGTCTGGGATCTGCAGGAGTAGCAGGTTTTGCGTGCCTCCCTCCTAGACTCTTCTGGATCAAGTCAAAGGGCTGGAGAAGAGCCCTGTGCACGCGAGGGACATCGGGAAGGCCAGGGAGGAGCTGAGGACGCTGGCGAAGGCCACCAGAGCAGCCTTGGAGCACAATGACAAGTGAGGCAGGCATGGCCGTGTGCCGGCTGGGCGTGGCTGGCATTTACTCAACAAGAGCGTACTCACACCTCCACACCTCTCCTGCGTTGTTAGGGGTGAAACACAATGTTTACTAACTGGAGTTCTGACCACTGGGCTCTTTCATAAACCACGGCCTATGTGACTAAGATAGCTACGGCTCTGGTGCGCCTGTGGGAGGACTTCTGGAGGGCCTCGGAAGGAATCTCAGGTTTTCTCTGAAGCCTTGTTGATACGTCAGAGAGCTGCGTGGCTAAGATGCCTTGGACAAGTTCTTTTCGTAGTTGTTTAGCTTTAAAAAGTTCTGTCATCGCTGTAGTTTTCTAGGATCAAGGCACAGCCATGGAGATATGTTGTTTTCAGAGACTGAACAAGGAGATTAAAGGATATCTGAAACAAGCAAAATAGTCTTAAGAAGGAACAATAAGATGCAAGACCAAAAAAATAGGTCCAGTGTTCACTATAAGCGGACCATAGAAAGCCCTCCTCTTTGCTTTCCCGTGGACTTGAGGTCTCTCTGGGAGTGGCTATGAGCTCCAGCTCCAGCCAGAGGCTGGACTCTGGGTGGTTAATGCATACTTTTTGTGGTTAGCCTGGCCCTATGTCTTCCTCACCTTGATGGGACTCCATTGTATATATGGGGTTTGTGCATGTGTGTGTGTGTGTGTGTGTGTGTGTGTGTGTGTGTGTGTGTGTGTGTGGGCGTGTGTGTGTGCACATCTTCAGATTCCCCTTTATGTTGGAAAGTAAGATTGTGTTCATTTCTCAGTGAAATAGATTTATGACATGAAAAGAAGAAACAACGCACCCTCAGAGCCCTGGAATTTCATGCTTTGTGTGTTATTTTCCATTTGTAGACTCAAAAATGATTTAGAAATGGAGCACCTGTTGCTACAGTCTGCTAAAGATAAAATGGGTAAGAGCCACAGTGCCTACTCCCTTTCCGTGCGCTCTTGGTATGCTGGTTCCTCCTCTGTGCCGCCCAGTCCCTTGCACTTGTCTAACTCCCTCTCAGTCTCAAGATCGTCACATGCAACTGAGCACCTCCACACTATCAGATCTCTCTGTCTTCCACGTGTGTTTCCCTCAACAACATTGTCCGGTATAGGGCCTTGAGGTCCCTCTCTGAGAAGACAAATTCTGGAAAAGTGCTGGGGTTGGAATTTACCATGGAGCCTTCCAATCTAGCAGAGTCTGCAAAAGCAGACATCCAATAAATAGTTATTAATTAAATGAACGAATTTAAGGAAGACCACCTTCATTTATGGATCAGCTAATTTTCTGAAGTGCTTGGAATTTGAGTTATACCATAGTTTATGTCATATTTCACATATAATATTGTTAACAACACCATCTCTTAGTAAGTGCTATTAAATGCAGTAATGATTTGCTTTCAAAAATATTTTCCAGAAGCATTTGAGAAAAACCTTAATAATGAGGACCAACTTACTCTTACTGAGAAGGTTGAAAAGAGGAGATGTGAAATTCTTAATATGTGGGATAAAATCCAAGATCTTGGTAAACAACTTAAAACAACTTTGGTGCATACTGGAGTTTCAAATATCACTGAGAGTGGAATTAAAAGCCTAGTGGTATGCAATTTATCTACTTAAATATTTACATTATTTTGCTTGGCAAATGCATGAAGCAGTTTGATTCTGTAAAAGGGAAAATAATATAGTGAAATGTACCCCAAATATATGTCATTCCAGAAGGCTTACTTTGACTAAGATCTAAGGCTTATACTAAGAAATCTTTCTGTGGTCCAAACCTGCAGAATCTGTGCAGAATCTGATTCAATATGATCTCTAGTTAAAGAATTTCTAAGTTGCCAGGCGCCAGTGGCTCACACCTGTAATCCTACCTACTAAGGAGGCTGTGAGGATCTCGGTTCAAAGCCAGACCTGGCAGGAAAGTCTGTGAGACTCATCTCTAATTAACCACTAGAAAACTGAAAGTGGTGCTGTGGCTCAAGTGGTAGAGTATTCGTCTTGAGCTGAAGAGCTCAGGGACAGTGCCCAGGCCCAGAGTTCAAGCCCTATGACCAACCCAAAAAGAAAAAAGAACTTCTAAGTAATACAAGATTTTTATATCAATATATTTTATATTTATGTAAATAAGCTATACATATATGTATATATAGCTTAAAAGGTTCTGTTACCTCTATATAGTTTTCTAGGATCAAATCACAACCATAGGAGATACATTGTTTTCAGAGACTGATATATAAAAAAATTATATGTAAAAATATATAAATAGATCAGTATATTTATATAAAAATATTTATATACTCTTCCTAGCACTACTTTCCCCTTAAAAGCTGAATAAGAATTATAGATAGAAGAGTTCTTAAACACTAGACTAGGTTCTTACAAATGCAGTCCAGCCTCACTGCTAAAATGGCTGATTCTTTTTAGAATATTGGAAAACTGGGGAGGTAAGTCTTTACACATCCTTTTCATTATTCTCCAAGACTCTTTTATGATCAATACAGATGGTACTTAATTGTGTCTACAAGGAGTTTATACATATATTGATGAGAAAGTGATGGCCTGAAAATGTTAACATTCTTTTCCAAGATCATTTTATTTTTAATCTATTTCTGTGCTTCAGTATTAATTGCTGAATCTTATCAATGTGTAGGATCTGTTATTGTAAGTGGAAATTAAAACATATGCTGTACTTAGCAGTCAGTTGTTCTTGCTGGGCTGTTGTGTAGTGATGCAGGCATACTCTGGAATCTTGTTCTTGGACTCCTGACCACTGCAATAAAGCGAAGAGAATAACAAAGTGAACGTTTTGATTTCTGGTTGCATAAAATAGCTATGTTTATACTATATTATAGTCTATTAGATGTGTAATAACATTACACTGAAATCATGAATCTTAATTAAAATACTTCATGATCATTTGAGCCATTGGAAAAATGGTGCCAATGGTCTTGTTTGGCACAGGGTTGCCACAAAATGAGTTTGCAAAACATGCAAAATCTCTGAAACATGGAAAGGTAACAAGCAATGAAACAAAGTATGCCTGCATTTGTGTTTTTATATTTTCTCCAGCCACTGAAAAGGGAAGAATTCTTCCACTCTGCACTTGCCCTACACATTTTTGGTATTTTGAAACTTCAGCCCTTACCTGCAGTGGTTTTGGCCGGAAGGACAAAGATCTTTCTTTCTTAGTATTCATCCTTCCACTCATTCTTTGATAATTCATTCACTGTAAATACTAACACTATCAATTACTCTTAGAATGATAATGCCATTCATATAAGAGCTTTAAATTTCATTAGCTGATAACATACTTCACAGATTCATAACCAATTATATTGCTTTTAAAACCATTTTCTCTTCAGAATGAAGCTACAAGATTGGAAACAACAAATAGGATTCTAGAGAAGAAAATCCAAGTAAGTTTGGGGGCATACGAATCAGTGCTTATCGTAGAGATACTTCCTGGAGATGACCTGCTTGCCTGTGTCACAAATTATGTGGTGGTATAGCAGGTCTTTTTTCAAAGTGATAACTTTCTGTGATGCTAGAGCTTTAGAGACGTGGCGGTTCACCTCTGAAATCCTAACTACTTGGGAGTTGGAGATGAAATCCTAACTACTTGGGAGTTGGAGATGAAATCCTAACTACTTGGGAGTTGGAGACTGGGAGGATCGTGGTTTGATGCCAGCCAGGACAAAGCCAATCAATAAAAGCTGAGCATGATGGTACATGCCTGTCATCCCAGCTACTTGGGAAGCATAAATAGGAGGACTATGGCTCAGGATGACCTGAATATGATGTGATTTTATTTCAAAAATAACAAAAACAAAAAAGACTGGAGGTGCAGCTCAAGTGATCAAGCTCCTCTGGAGCAAACACAAGGCACTGGGTTCAAACTCTATATTACAAAAAAGAAACCCAGTCTGTACAGCTGTACGCTCATGTGTCAATTTAAAAACAATACTAAATCTTAATGATTGGATGTTAATCATAACTATTTCTCTAACCCATCCACTATTCAATGTGATGCTTCTGTTGATAAGAAATGTAATGCACTGGTACCTCCAGCAACTTTGAAGATACTCCTCCAAAGTGTGTGTTAATGATTTGTGACTTAACTATCATTCTTCTATGGAGGTGTGTATCTCTGTTATGTGTAGTGTGAATTAATGTGTTGCAACTGATTTTAGTCTGTTTGGATTCAATCTCATTTCTGTTAGTATATTATAGCTTTGTAGATGACCAAAAGCTTTAAATGTTTCTGTAGAACATTGAAAGCCATGTGAAGTTGATGATAGGGAAGAGCAACATTCCTGTGGTGGAGGAGAGGTAAGCTTTTCCCTGATAAGGAATTGTAACACTGTTATGCTCTTCTCAAGTTCAAACACTGAAAACTAAAGGAGGCTTGATCTCTGTGTTGTTAACACTCAAGAGGTCTAAATTTAAATGTCCATGTTATATGTTTTCCTGTGCTTAAAAATCCTTAGGTAGCCTCAACACATAGATGACATTTAGCAATATAGAACTAAACTCACTGGTCAAAGCTAAAGAGGTGGGGTGGATTTTCATAGGCAAGAATTAGGAAAGCAGTGAGGTAGATGCCTGTGGGTAGGTTTATTTTCTCCAATTACATTATTTTTACTCTTTTAAATCTTCAAAAAATACAATGCATATTTTAATCTAAAAAGTAAATGGAGCCAGTTGCTGGTGGCTCATGCCTGTAATCTTAGCTACTAAGAAGGCTAAAATTTGAGGATCAATGTTCAAAGCCAGCCCAGGCAGGAAACTCTATGAGACTCTTATCTCCATTTACCCACGAAAAGACTTGGAAATGGAGTTGTGGTTTAAGTGGTAGAGTGTTAGTTAATGTTTGGATTATATTATCTGTAATATGCTTATATTTTGCATAGTTACTTTTCTAAAAGTTAGTAGTAAGGTGTAAATTTCTAGATTTGATATGGTTGGAGCAAAGAGAAAACCATGATGCTTTAAACGTTTGAAAGCTAGTTTGTGTCATTATAGAAGCCCAGGAGGTGTGCATGGCCACTGGATGGCGGTGTCTGCACTAGAGTTCTTCCTTCCTCCTTGGTGGTTCTTTTCCAGCGGGAGTGTGTATGGCTGTCTTCAGGCATCCGAGGATCAGGGGAGGAAGGGGCCAGAGAAGGACAGACAACTAGAGCGTCAGCAAGGAGGCTTTTCTGCTTCGTTTAGGAAGGACAAGCAGACGCCTATCATGTCTCACTCACCAGCCCTGGGTTTCAGTACCATCCTTAGTGGTGAGAGGCCAGAAACCAGAACATTCCACGTCCTCTGTCCCAAGGCAGCGAAAGCCATGGGGAAGGTGCTAGGCCATCTGTGGGCCGAGACCTAGGCGGCCCCTTGGAGCAGCTCCTGAGACGCGGCTGGGGCCCCCGGAGGCCCGGGCTCGGGGGCTGGCGGCCCGCGCGGGGCCTGGGCTCGGGGGCTGGCGGCCTGGGCTGGCGGCCCGCGCGGGGCCCGGGCTCGGGGGCTGGCGGCCCGCGCGGGGCCCGGGCTCGGGGGCTGGCGGCCCGCGCGGGGCCCGGGCTCCGGGCCGGCGCAGGCACCGGGCGGCAGGGACCCTCCGACGCGCCCGCTGGCTGCGGAGCAGCGGAGGTGGGACAGGGTGTGTCTGTGAGCGCCTGTTCCTCTCTGACCATCTTCCTTCTACCTCCCGCCGTTCCAAGGAGGCTCTGGGAGTTCATTGAGGATTACACGACCCTGCAGGAGCCCCGCCAGCCGGAAGAGCAGCCGGAAGAGCCCGACTGGGACGGGTCTCCCCGCGGCCAGGCCGGCGGGGACGAGGACGAGGAGGAGGACCAGGACGAGGAGGAGGAGGACGAGGACAGGGACGGGACGAGGCCCGCGGGCCTTTAGCCCCGGCTCGAATTCGCCAGCCCGCGGCCCTCAGTGGGAGCGCGACTTCGGGCTGCTCGCCGCCGGCCGGCCGCTGGGCCTCCGGGCCGGCCCGCGCTCAATAAAACGTCCCCTCCACTCAGTGCCGTCTATGAACTGCCTGGCGGGCGCTCCGCAGGGCGCACGCGTGGGACCCGGGCTTCCGGAACGAGGCGGGGAGGCCCGGGCTTTTGGAACTTGGGTTTTCAGAAGTGACTGACGTCAGAAGGCTCCGGCTTCCGGGAGTGACGTCGGATGGCCTCAGCTTCCGGTCGTGGGCCCAGGGAAGGGACCCCATCCCCCCACGGAGCCTGCGCTGGCCGTCCCGACAGCGGGGAGCTGGCGCCCCACCTTCCTCCAGCGGGGTTCCCGGGTTCTCAGGGACTTGGGTGCTCCTGGCGGCCACACCGCGGGGAGGCCCACGGGCTGGCGGGCGGGCGCGGGCGCCCTCCCCGCGGAGCGCCTGCTGGGGCGGCGGAGGCCTCCTGGGGGCCGTCCTCACGGGTCAGGCGAGCGGCCGACCCAGCTCCGGACTAGACGGCATCCAAGCCTGAGCAGGCTTCACACCGGCAGGAGGGCACGGGCGGCCTGGGCTCCCGGGATGCAGGTCGGATGGCCTGGGCTTCCGGGAGTGAGGCGGGAGGTCCACGCTTCCGGGAGGGAAGTGGATGGCCTGGGCTTCCGGGAGTGAGGCGGGAGGTCCACGCTTCCGGGAGGGAAGTGGATGGCCGGGGCTTCCGGGAGTGAGGCGGGAGGTCCACGCTTCCGGGAGGGAAGTGGATGGCCTGGGCTTCCGGGAGTGAGGCGGGAGGTCCACGCTTCCGGGAGGGAAGTGGATGGCCGGGGCTTCCGGGAGTGAGGCGGGAGGTCCACGCTTCCGGGAGGGAAGTGGATGGCCTGGGCTTCCGGGAGTGAGGCGCGGAGGCCCGGGCTTGAAGAAGGGCTGTAGGAGGACCAGACTTCCGGAAGCTAGGTAAGGAGACCCGGGATTCCGGAAGTGATGCCAGGCCCGGACTTCCTGGCTGGCGTGCGGGGCCGAGGCCGGCTCTCCGTGTGCCGGGCGCCCCTGTGCTGGGCCCGCCGACGCCGCAGAGGGCAGGGAGCTGCGGGCGTGGCCGCGCCGCATCCGGAGAGGCGGCTCCTGCGCTGGGGTGCGGCTGGAAGTCATTTCCACAGCCAGGTGAGGGCCGCGACGGGCGGGCGGCTCCGCGGGCCTCGGACCGGCTGCCTCGGCCCTGAGGAGGCTGGGCGGCCTCGGACGGGCGGCCTCGAAGGGGAGCCTCAGGCGGCGGCGGCCCCGCGGTGGCCCGCCTCGCAGGGCCCTTCCTTCCGAGCCGGGGCAAACGCGAGCCGCCCTGGGGCCATCTTGGCGCGCGACGCCCCGCGGGCGCGGGGATTGCGCCTGTGAAGGGACTGCGCCTGTTGAAGGACGGTCGGCCGGTCGGGGCGGCCGCTGTAGGCCTGGTTCAGAGCCCCGGGCGCTCTCCGCGGGCTTGCTCGGCAGCGTCGGGCGTGTGTGCGGCGGCAGTGAGTGGAGGGTGGCAGCCGGGGGTGGGGGGGTTGGGGGGGCTCCGGGGCCGGCAGCGGGGGGGGGGGGTGTGGGGTGGGGGGGCTCCGGGGCCGGCAGTGGGGGTGGGGTGGGGGGGGGTGGGGGGGCTCCGGGGCCGGCAGCGGGGGGGGGGGGGGTGGGGGGGCTCCGGGGCCGGCAGCGGGGGAGGGAGGCATAGGCCGGCAGCGGGGGTGGGGGGGGCTCTGGGGCCGGCAGCGGGGGGTGGGGTGGGGTGGGGGGGGGTGGGGGGGGGCTCCGGGGCCGGCAGCGGGGGAGGGAGGCATTGGGACTCGGGGTGGGGCGTTGGGGTTCCGGGGCCGGTAGCGGGGCGGGGGGGGGGGGCCGTTGGGGCTGGTCCCGGCTTCCTTCAGCCGCTGGCACAGTTGCTTCTCCCTCTCTCCTTCACTGTACGTGAGTGCGCGGTCTGGCCCTCCTCCTCCGCTGTGCTGTGTCTGCGCTCCTGTGTCTCCTCTGCCGGAGGGGGAGGGGGAGGGGATGCTCCCGCGCGTGGGCACTGGGGGACGGATGCGTGCAGGGTGACGTGTGACAGGCCAGAGGAAGGTCCCGCTGCTGGTCGGAGCAGCTCGGAGGAACCAAGATCCCTCTCGGCTTTCATGCTAGTCCTTCGTATTCCACCGAGGAATGTAACACCCTCAAAGGCAGCGTGTTTATATTTGCGTGTGTGTTCATTCACTTTACAAATGCTGTTTTGGAGAGGTGATGGGAGATTACAGCGCAAACAGCAGAGAATGCGCAGCGTTCCTCATTCCCCTCCACCATGCACACCACCGCGCTACACCACCGCGCGCACCACCGCGCTACACCACCGCGCTACACCACCGCGCGCACCACCGCGCGCACCACCGCACTACACCACCGCGCTACACCACCGCACTACACCACCGCGCGCACCACCGCGCTACACCACCGCGCGCACCACCGCGCGCACCACCGCGCTACACCACCGCGCTACACCACCGCGCTACACCACCGCGCTACACCACCGCGCGCACCACCGCGCTACACCACCGCGCGCACCACCGCGCTACACCACCGCGCGCACCACCGCGCTACACCACCGCGCTACACCACCGCGCGCACCACCGCGCTACACCACCGCGCTACACCACCGCGCGCACCACCGCGCGCACCACCGCGCTACACCACCGCGCGCACCACCGCGCTACACCACCGCGCGCACCACCGCACGCACCACCGCGCTACACCACCGCGCGCACCACCGCGCGCACCACCGCGCTACACCACCGCGCGCACCACCGCGCTACACCACCGCGCGCACCACCGCGCTACACCACCGCGCTACACCACCGCGCGCACCACCGCGCTACACCACCGCGCGCACCACCGCGCTACACCACCGCGCGCACCACCGCGCTACACCACCGCGCTACACCACCGCGCTACACCACCGCGCTACACCACCGCGCTACACCACCGCACTACACCACCGCGCGCACCACCGCGCTACACCACCGCGCGCACCACCGCGCGCACCACCGCGCTACACCACCGCGCTACACCACCGCGCGCACCACCGCGCTACACCACCGCGCGCACCACCGCGCGCACCACCGCGCTACACCACCGCGCGCACCACCGCGCTACACCACCGCGCACACCACCGCTCACACCACCGCTCACGTAGCCCCCGAGGGTACAGCAGTCCTTGCAGTTGGTGAACTGGCTTGGACATGAGAGTCCCCACCGGCCCCTGGTGCCCCCGAGGGGTTTCTCTTGGCGTCAGGACCGATGTATCATGGTTTATCTCAGAATTATACAGATCTGTTTCAGTATCGTGAAAATCATCTGTGCGCTCTGCCTTTTGGTCCCTCTCACACCCGTAACTGTGGCATCCAGTGGTCTTTTCTACTATCTCCCTAACTGTACCTTTCCCACAGTGTTTCACACTTATAATTAGGCAGTCACTCACCTTTCTAAAGTGACTTATTTCACTTAATATCGATATAAGTTTTTTCTGTGAGTTTACATGGCTGGATAGCCCTTTTTATGCTGAGTAATAGTTCTTGAATGTACCCTGTTGTATTTACCCATTCACTTATTAATGGTCATCTCTAGTGCTGCTGAGTTTTTGCAAGCATGATTAAAGTTTTTATAAACATCCATGTGAAGGTTTTATGTAAATGATAAGGGCTCACATGAGTGTGATCACTGGATTGTATGATAAGTGTGTTTCATTTTGTAAGAAAGTCGTTTAAATAGGGATACAGGTGGACCCATTGCAACAATGAGATGTACCAGTCGTTATGTCGAAAACGAACTTTACAACTTTGGTGTGGGGGGAGGGAGGGAAAGCGGGGAGGATGGGAAGGGGAAACAAAGGAGGAGGCTACAATGCTTGATAAGAAATGTACTCATTATCTTGCCCATGTAATTATAACCCCTCTGTACAGTATTTTCACAATAAAAAAAGAGTATCTTTCACAGTGGTTGTTCCATTTTGCATTGCCATTGCAAATGATGAACCTTCTGATACTCCACATACCAGCAGTGGATGATGTTGGTGTTCTGGGTTCAGACTCTTCCAGTGCTGTGGAATGGAGCCTTGTCATTGCTTTAACTTGCATTTCATTATGCTGAACAATGTGTATCACTTGATACCATTGTTTGCTGTCTGGGTGTCTCCTTTGATGAGGCATCTGTTTGGACATTTTAAAGTTGGTATTAAATTTCTTGTATAATTGGAAGAGTTCTTAGAATATTTTAGATATAAGTTAATTTTCACATATGCCCTATGCTAATGTATTTTTTCAGTTTGTGGATTCTCTTTTCATTCTCTTGATAATTTTTCACTGTCAGCCTAAATCTAAGCTTAAAAATCTTTGAAAAAAAATAAGTAGGTAATACTTAAGTGCTCTTCACACTTCCCTAATTTGGAAACAAGGAATTTGAACTTTATTTGGGTAGAGAAGGATAAAACTGTAGAATATCTACATCATTGTCTGAGAGTATGTTTTTTTAACAAGTAATACAAGTTCCTCTTAGAATAAAAAAGTAGAATATCCAAAATTCTGAACTTTCAGAAGCTATCATTACTTATTTATGATGTTATTCCTACCAGTTATTTTAATTTTAATATATTCTTTTATAAAACGTATCTAGCCTTACTGCATTAATAATGTTTTTCATGTCATCTCTTCTCAATAGTAAACAATTATCAGCATGATTTAATGAAAATCCATTTATGACAATCTTTAAAGAACATACAGCTATTTATATGTGTATATTGCACACTTTTGTGGTTTATACATGTGTATATATGAATGAGATGTTTGTGTTTGGGTGTTTTGTCAGACCAAATGATTTTAACTTCCCTTTTAACATTTTATGTCTGGATTCTAAATCAAATCCCTCACTTTCCAGATTAAGTACAAAAACGCAATTAGATTAAAGGATTTGCCCAGGATTTTGAAGTAAATCAAGAGGATAATTAGAAACTAACTGATACTGTCTGAATTTCAGCTTATTTCCTTAGCACACGTCAGTCCCCGTTTGTAAGTTACCTCCTTTTAGGTGTATCAGCTGCTATTTGCACATATGTACATTTAAGGTGCCATTCTGTTGAAGGAAACATAAGACCAGAAAATGTAGGAAAAGTTGAGGAAACATTTAAAGATGGAGAAATAATAGTAAAAGAACAGAAATGTATTAGCACCAAACTGATATTTAATATTGTATGGAACCTGGAAATTATTATTGTACATTTCATGAGACTTCATCATAATCACAAAGCATGATTTTCTACTAAGTCAAGAATACTTAAAATTGGAATAATCTGTCATCATTATCTATCGTCTACCTATCCAGCTGGTATTATACTTAAACCGTTCCAGATTCTGCTATGAGTGTGTCTGTGTGTGTTGTAGGTTTGTTCTCATATCTTTACTAAGAACAGCAAGAGGCAGGGCACTGACTTGTTGACTAATGACACAGGACTATGTAAAGAGGCATGACCTGTAAGGAAAGAATCAGCTATTGGTTTTATTGGTGTACATTACTGCTGCTCTCAAAGGCTCCCTCATAATTTGCACACTGCCTAATGACTGTTCATGGCTGATGGTAGCCCTGACACCTTTCTTGATCTTATTTGCAAGAATTCAAAGATGAATGAGGTTTCTGCACTCACTTAACTTGGTGTGAACTCCATGTTTCTGAAGAT